AATTTAATTAATGTCTGCAAGCTTCATTTCCATTTTGATGATCTAATCAAATTCATAGCACTGTATTTCAAATGCCCCAAAATGGAATGAATTGTAGGCACATTTTTCACAGAAATTTTATTCAACAAGCGAAGTTTCATTAAAGAGTAAGTAAGATGGTAAGTTTTGAGCTCGCTTAAGAAATATAGATAGATGTTTTTCGTCTTGTCACGAGCGTGGGACAAAGGAAAAAATCTGAGTCTTCGTGAGGAATCGAGCCTCAGACCTTCGGATTCCGTGCTCTGATGCTCTACCACTGAGTTCTACCACTGAGCCACAGAGACTCTTTGGTGAGTAAGGCCCATTAAGAAGCTCGTAATAGGCCATGCTCATCATAGAGTCTCTGTGGCTCAGTGGTAAAGCATCGGAACGCAGAATCGAAAGTTTAATCATTTTGTTAAAAATGTGGCTGTATTTTTTCCAATACTCAAAAGGGCATTTACTACCACTGTCGCCTACTCTGTTCCAAAAATCCAAAACGGAATTAATTAAAATTACAGAACAGTTACAAGCTATTTTAATCATTATAGCAGGTGGCCTCACTGTTAGTGCGCTCGACTCCGGATCGAGTGGTCCGGGGTCGAGCCCCGGCCGGGACATTGTGTTGTGTTCTTAGGCAAGACACTTTACTCTCACAGTGCCTCTCTTCACCCAGGTCTATAAATGGATACCGGAAATTTAATGCTGGGGGTAACCCTGCGATGGACTGGCATCACATCCAGGGTGGAGTAGAAATAGTCCTAGTCGCTTCATGCTACAGAAATCGGAGTTAACCACCTGCCTAATGGGCCACTAGGCTCGTAAACAGACTTTACCTTTACCTATAGCAGAAACATTAACATTACGTTGTAAAATATTTTTCGTCTTCTCCTCTCTATAAACTTGTGTGTCTCTTCCCCTTCCTCGATTAGACTCTTCTATTTGCGGGTAGAAGCTAACATGAAATTATAATTTGAGAATTAATGAATAAAGTTTTTATTGTTGTTGTTGTTGTTTGGTTTTTCACAGTCAGTTGTCGACGGCTTAAATTTTCTAGTTTGCCTTGCATTAATTAACGTTTGCGAACTTTATTTCTTGAAGTTATTGCCCTGATGCACGGAATTTAGAACTCCTTTTACAAGCGGCTTGTGGTAATTGTAAGCGGCAAGCAAAAAAATTCACACTCAATATGTGCTTGAAAAGTTCGCTGTATGGCGGCATGTTGAGCTAACACTTCAGGTCTAACCTGGTTGCCATTAGTTTTCATGATCGGTGTCCACGGCCCTGCTCCCCACCCAAAGTCTCCCATTTGACATAAAATGGAAACGGGTTCTGTGTTAAAGCGAAGAGTAACCACCAGACTGCCATTTAACCTGTTGAAGAGGGCACATACTGATATATTTAAATACTACGCGGTATAACGTATGAGGATACTATTAGTATTAATAATCAATTACGGAGCATTTAACAATTCTGAAGACATACAAATGTTATTATTTGGAAAGTTTCAGATTTGTTTTCAACTTTCCTTTGAACTTACTTGTTGGCTTCATGCAATTCTTTACAAGAAACAGCATCTGGAAAGAAAAAAAATGGAATGTAGAGCCTGATGGTGTTTTAATCCTTTTTTTCCCTCCTTTTTTCTACCTTTTACTTCCTACTTTGAATTTAAATTTGTAATTCAGTAGGTTCTTGAAAGCTAAAAAAAAAAATTTATAATTTTTTTATAACATTATTCTTATTTATTATAACTTACGTTAATAGCGATCTATCTAAAATGCATCTCACTTGTGGCGACTATGCATCAAATGCATCCCACAGCTCACAATTAGAAAAATTTCTACCTTTTTCACAATATGCTCCGATGAAGCCTTCTACGCAGAGGCAATTAAAGGTGTTCTCTTCGTAATTTGCTGAGCATGTTCCTCCGTTTTGGCATGGAGAGGAAGAGCAAGGTGTCTGTCGAAGATAGTAGCAAAACAGTTTTATCATAAGATATTCATAGTCAAATATGGATTTGTTAAAGCTACAAAAGCATATACAAAGCCAAGTTTTTGTTTGGAGTACACTAGATCTTGTAATGGACATGAAGCACGCATTGATTTCATCAAAACACCTTGCAAAAGACATTCATTCTAAAGAGGGTTAAAATTTTCTCTGAAAATTGTCCTTATTGATCCATTTTCAGTTGCATCTCATTCTTTTTTGTTCCTCCAACACATTCTTGAACAGACTGACTGGCGTATCAGGTCTTGGACAAATGTGATGCAAATATTAAATTTTAAGACTTGACAAGAAACATATCAAGGTTACATAGTTTTACAGTTATTCTACTTTGACTTGATCTCTGCCAACCCCCCTCCCTTCCCTTTACCCAAGCTTCTGCTTTCTTAACTATCACCATAAAGTTTGACATTATTTCTAGTTGCGGTTTTTCTTATCTCGCTCCGACCCTTTGTTGAAGATATATGTGCCACCCGCAAATTTTTCAATCAGTTTATTTAAAAGGAAAAAACTGAATTGAAATCGTTGTTTTAAAATCATAAAAATTTATTTGATTTTTATTTTAACTTATCTTTGATCACGCTTGGACATTCCTGCGTGACAAGAAGAGTCCTAACTGGGCATCTGGTCGTTTCGTAATCACCGTTTTGGTACTCAGTCATCTCGTACCCAAATTCAGCTTATTCAAAAAGGATTGAATAAGTTCGTCCCGAAACCGCTAGTCGAGTCGTAACGGACCGATACACATTAATTCAAACTATTTCGTGCGGGCTCGCGCATGAAATATTTGCTGATTGGTGGAAACGACAATAAGTAGAGTAAAGCGAGTAAGATACGAAAAATCTTGATAATTAATTCCTTAGAGATCGATTTCGGGATAACAATTAGCGTTAAAAAAGCACGACGTTCTCTCCGAGGTCATTTTCAAGTGAGTAAAAGCTTTCTAAATTAGTATAAAAATGTAGAAAAAGTTGTGTAAAAGTGTGGCGAGAGCTAAAACATGATAAAATATGTAAGAGAGTGCTAAAAATATTTCTGAAGCAAAACAAAATATTTGCTCGCAAATAGAATTTTTATGCCTTCTCTCTTTGACCCTGGTTTATTTCCCAATCAAGGCGGACTGGGTTTGGGTAAGGGATCAATGGCCATWACGCTTGATCCCCTCTGAGGGTTTTTACAAGTCACATTAACTCCCCAGCCATGTGCACATCATTCGCCTCGATTACTCGGAGTGAGAAGCTGATTTTTGACTTGCTGCGTGGTAAGTTTTTATACGTTTTTATATTTACTGCCATTTCGTCTTGCTTTCGAGCCTCTCGTTTACTATTCCATGCCAATTTCGGTCGCTGTGCGGATCGTTGTTGCAGTTCATTGCCGTGTTGTTTTCACACTTCCCCCACCCCAATTGCTCTTGTTTTCCATTATTCCCATGGCTTCTTCTGCCCCTTCAGTTCTGTTATTAGGTCATTCTTTTATTCGAAGGCTTCGGATTGACCTTCGTTCGCATTTCGATTCACGGTCTGATGACACTTTTGGTCTCTCTGATGACGCCATTGTTCATTTACACGGCGTTGGCGGCCTTACGGTAGCAAGATTGCGCAGCGACCTCGCAATTGTTTCCTCTTTGTCCCCCCAAGTTGTTATTTTGGAATTAGGCACGAATGATCTTGCTCGCCTTCCCCCTGAGGTTGCCGGCTCGGAAATTGAAGAGTTAGTAGGAATACTCCTTGACCCTTTTTCGGTTCGGGTCACCGGTGTGTGCGAGGTGTTATTTCGTTTTAGAGCGCCTTTTTTCAACGACGCTGCATCGATACTTAATCAATATCTTCGTGGCGTTTTAGAGCTCATTCCTAATTTCTTTTTTGGTGTCATAGGGGTTTTAACAACCCTTCGGTTTACCCTTATTCGTCCAACGGGGTTTATGTGAGCTCTTTTGGTCAATATTGTTTGTACTGCAGCTACCGAGGCGCCATTTTAAAGGTGCTTCGCATGCTGTCTTCTTGACAGGCTTCCTAGATTAACCTTTGTTTTATTCGTCTATTCATTTATTTGTTTGTGTCCTGTTTCGTTCATTTTGTTACTCAGGGCAGTTGTGGGACGAGCTATGCATGTCCTTGCCCATCTTTATTTATTATTTATTTAGGGCAGTGTGGGGCTTGCTGCTCTGGCAACTTTTGTTAGCCAAACTAGTCCTTGCCCGTCGTTATTTAGTATTTCTTTGGGGCAGTGTGGGACTTGCTACTGCGGCAACTTCTGTTAGCCATGCTTGTCCTTGCTCGTTTGGATTTTTTATTTATTTGGGGCAGTGTGGGGCTTGCTATTGCTTGTCCTTGCCCTTTGTTGTTTAATTTACTTGTCTCATTTTACCCTATGTGGTTTAATTTTACCATTGCGTGTTTATGTTAGCTGTCTACCTTTTTTGTTGTTGTTCAAGGCCCAAGTAGCCCCGTTCCTTGAGAGCTTTTTTCTGCCTTTTTCTTCTTATTTTGTTTATCAGATGCCTCTCCGACGATCTACTAGGTCGAAACGACCTTCTCGCCAAGCGTTAGAGTCTCTGGTTGCTCCACCTCCTCCTCGGAGGCGTACTGCAGCTCCCAGTTTACCATCCGGTGGTAATGACAGTGACCTACCCTCTCAGCCAGCAATTCTTCATTCTGTGCCATCTTCTCAGGCCTCTGATCCCACTATTTCTGCAACCATACCCGCCTTTCCCCCGGCCCTACTTGACCAGTTGGTTCAGCATATAGCAGCTGAGGTCACCCGACAGCTCCAGCCAGCATCTTTTCCGCCTGCTAGTCAAGAGTCCCAAGTGCCATCTCCTACACCAGGGGTTTTTCCGAGCGTTCCAGGGAGAACAGCTGTTAAACAGTTGACCACAGAGGTCCCCGTGGTTGGTTCCTCTCCTGCTGGCAATCCCTCAGCTGGGGACCAGGTTGCTCAAGTGGTCCAGTCACTCCACTCTTCATTGACAGTTGAGAGTCAATCAACAAGGGCAGTCCATCCTCAGGACATATTCACATCCGTCAGTCTGCCAAGCGATGCCAGGGTGCCTTTAAAACTAAAATAAAAAATCTGGAATAATGAATTTATTGGCTTTGGTCTGGTCTTGGCCAACCAATTCACAGAAGGAAAATATCAGCTCACCATTAATCCTGGTGATGGCTCTTGACCCTCGTTGGCTCTTGAGCCAGTTACTAGGCCTAAGGAAATTGTGCCAGTAGATAGATGGGTCCAAGCTTTCCATGTGTTTGTGGGAGTTTTTACAAGCCGCTTTCCAAGTGAAAGTCCTGGCCTTATGAAGTATGACTCTACCATCCAGGACCTTGCTGCCAGGGGTCACAACTGGCGTTTTTTACGAAGAAAATTTCCGCTTTTTAAGGCAGACGCCTGGTACTTCCCTTCCATGGGGTACCATTCACTGGGAGCTTTGGCTCCACTCGCATAGCCCGGTGAGTGTCAAGAGGGCGCAAACCCCTGCAGGCACTGGAAAGCTCATGGCCAATCTTAGAGTACCGAGGGGTTCTTGTTTTACTTTCCATAGGGGTGGTGACTGTATGGGCTGTTCTACTAGGCATGATTGCTTTAAATGTGTGAGGGCTCCCACCGTGCTTTAAACTGTAATTTTCGTGCCAAAGCTGGCGGGATTCAATCAAAAAACAGATGTACCACCATACCTTCCCCCCATTCAACCAACCCCCTGTCCAGCTTTGCAGTTTCCAACCCCCGTCAACATTAGATGTATGCTTCCTTTCCTTTGTGGGTATGACCCTTCAATTGTGCAGTTGTTTGAATCTGGTTTTACATCAGGTTTTCCTCCGTATTTCGGTGGCCCTCGTTGTTCTCAGGAGGCCCCCAACCTTCTTTCGGCTCTACAGTATCCAAAGGCTGTGAGTGCTAAGCTTTCTAAGGAACTCGATGCCCATAGGCTTCCTGCTCCTTTTTCATCCCCTCGTTTTCCGATCTTTCGTATATCACCCGTGGGTTTGGTTCCCAAGAAAGTTGAAGGTGAGTTTCGTTTAATTCATCATCTTTCTTATCCCAAAGGCTCCTCCGTTTACACAACTGTTTCGTATGCCACAGTGGGGAATGCCATTGACTTGGTTAAGTGTGTGGGTACCAATTGTCTTTTAGCTAAAACCGACGTTAAGAGTGCTTTTCGGTTAGTCCCTATTCGCCCTGAAGATTACGACCTTTTAGGAATATAATAAGAAGGCCAGTACTATTATGATAGGTGCATGCCTATGGGTTGTTCGAGTTGCTGTTAGACTTTTGAGGTGTTTGCAACTGTTGGCCCGGAACAAGTTGCATATTCCTTATCTTTTGCATTTGCTAGATGATTTCTTGATTATTTTTCCTTCGAATGAATCCTGCCAACATCAGTTGGATACGTTTTTAATGTTATGTAGTTTTTTTGGGTATCCCCATGGCACCAGAGAAAACTGTGGGCCCATCGACAACACTTGCTTTTGCGGGCATTGAGCTGGATACAGTTCTCATGGAGGCCCGTTTACCACAAGGGAAGCTGGACAAATGTCGGGATCTTCTATCAGCTTTTCTTGGTAGGCGTAAGGTAACTCTTAACGAGATTCAGTCATTGACCGGTTTGCTCAATTTCTGTACAGGTTTTGTCCCAGATCGAGCTTTCTTACGCAGGTTAATTGATTTGACTATTGGGGTACGGAAACCTCATTTTCTGATTCGGCTTTCTAAAGAGGTTAAGGAAGATCTCTTGGTTTGGAATTTGTTTTTCTCAGTTTTTAACGGGCGCTCCTTTTTTCTGGCTGATCAGTGGACCAATTCTCACCAGCTAGAACTGTACACAGATGCCTCTGGTGCCCTGGGTTATGGTACGGTTTTTGGTAAACATTGATGTTATGGTCAATAGCCACCTAGCTGGTATAATTTCAACATTGCGGTTTTAGAGCTTTACCCAAATATTTTGAGTCTGCATCTAT